AAAAAAAAAACTTGTGGTGAGAATATTGAAAATCCAGAAAATGAGAAGACTATAATACATTGTTATAACTATAGTTACCATATTGTACAATTTATCTCTGGAATTTATCCCTTCTATCTAACTAAAATTTGTATCTTTTGTTTGACCCAAGCCTAGGTTTCTTCATGGTTATAGGGAAATAACAACAATACTACATTGCACTGCTGGGAAGATGAAATAAGATATTCTTCTCCAAGCCTCCATTTCCTTATCTGTGAAATGGGAGACAATTATAATACTTCATAAGGTTTCTGTGAGGATCAAATAATAATGTACAGAAAATACAACACAGTGCCAAGCACAGGGTTTTCAATAAGTAAAACCAAATACTGTTACTATTATTATTGTTGTTATAATTAAATATTTGATTAAGTCGGTAGCAACAATTTTTATTAAGTAGTTGCATAAAGGAGTTAAATTCCCTAAGTGGAGAGTCATAATTTGAAGGTTTGAAAACAAGACAATTTGAATACACTAAAGCTGTAACTTACTATTTCCACAGTACTTTTGGATTCTGTGTGTGTCAACCAATCTGTACATGTTAAGAGTTCACACAATCAAGTCTGGAAAGTACGTAACTCATTCCAAGTATAATTCATCACTTTTATGTGTATGTGTGTGTGTTATATATAAGAAAATATAAGGGTGGAAGGTGGGAAAATTGAGAGTGATAGAGGAGATGAGATTGATTGAACATACTGTAACGTGTGGAAACGTTATCAATGAAATCATTCTCTGAATTACTAATATAAGCTGCTAATACATTTTTTAAAGTATATACATACTATACAAAAGTACATAAAATGAAAGTAAGTGATTACAGTCTGGCTCACTCAAGAACAGTCTGACTCACTCTTGATTTAAGAGAAAAACCTTAAAAGTAAACTAAAGAAGGTATGCAAATGTTTGGGTTACTTCTCAAAAAGCTCTTTGTCAAATACAGTTGTTGGTTATTAAAGAAAGGATGGAGAAGGAATTTGAGGTTGTTTTCCCCTGCAACTTTTGTGTGTGTGTTAGTTGCGGGTCTTTTTTTTTTTTTTTCCTGTCAGTTGTGGGGCCTGAACTCTGGGCCTGGGCTCTGTCCCTCAGCTCTTTAGCTCAAGGCTAGTGCTCTACCACTGGAGCTACAGCACCACTTCCAGTTTTTTCTGCTTATGTGGTGTTCAGGAATCGAACCCAGGGCCTCATGCAAGCGAGGCAAGCACTCTACCATTGAGCCACCTTCCCAGCCCTAGTTGTGGGTCTTGAACTTGGGGTCTGAGCACTGTCTCTGAGCAATTTTTGCTAAGGTTAGTGCTCTACCACTTTGAGCCACAAAGCCAATTCGGCTTTTTTGTTTGTTTTTTGTTTTTGTTGTTTATTTGTTTTGAGTAGTTAATTGGAGGTAAAAGTCTCATAGAGACTTTTCTACACAGGCTGGCTTCAAACCGTAATCCTCAGATCTCAGCCTCCTGAGTAACTAGGATTACAGGTGTGAGCCACTAGTGTCCAGATTTTCCCTCAATTTTTTAAATAGCAAAGAATCAGCCTATTGTAGGAAGTTAGTCATCTTGAGGGATCATCTAAGCACTATAATTTTATCTCTATATATTCTCTGAATCTTTTCAAAATCCATTTGGATCGAACAGAATAAATACACACTGCAAGAAGACTGAAAGTCTGATATTCTCCAGTATATTTCAAATCCGCAGGAAGGGATCAAACCTAAAAAGTAATAATATGACCAACAGAACTCATTTCCTTATCAGTTAGAAACATGGAAAGCACAATAAACTCTATGTCAATTATTCTACATTTGAATGATGGCTTGATTATACCACTGCTATTTAGCATAACACCATGTTTGAGAAAAGTATAAAGAAAAATACTCATCTACCTTGTTCTGATACCAGGGCCTTGAGCTCTCCCAACAAGTAGTTTATAGTTCTAACTTTTTCAGCAGTCTGGTTCACGTTTTTTGGCTTCTGTACATCTTTGACTATTTTTGCATCTTGTACATGTACATTTAAACACTTTCCTTCATTTGTGGTCTCTCCAATTTGTTCTCTGGCACATCTTTCTTCACTGGTGGCCAAGAAAGCTGGCTGTGACTGAGTGAGGCTTCCACATGTCTGAATGTCCGGGACAGTTTCTTTTCCGCAAGATGGAAACAGAGACATATGTGTCTGAAAACACTTTACTAGGTCTGCTTCTTCAGAAATTGTTTGTTGTGGCACAATCCAATTAGTAAGATTCAGCTGCTGCAATGTTGGAATATCTGCTTTTTCATTTGGGGGCAAGCTACATTGAGCTCCAGGATGGTTATTAAATGAATTTCTTGGAATATCGAGGAAGTTCACAGAAGTTGTTTTATCTTGTGGTGCAAATTTGTTATCATCCGTTTGAACTTCCTAAAGGCAAGCCAGGTTGAAAAGAAACCTTTGAACATGTGAGCACTCAATTCCAGGTACTGTTTATAACAAACTAAAACAGAAATAAAATAATTTTCTAACATTAGATAACTGTTTTTTTTAAAAATATTTGTAGCTTAAAAATAAGCTATATTTATCCTGAGCACAATAAAAAACTAGTATTTTAAAGCTTAATTAAAACACTTTGCAATATGGGGACATTATAAAACTATGACTAAAACAGTATTAACAAATACATGCTTGAAATGCATCAAAAATTAATCCATTTTGGACTAAAACATTTCTACTTTGGGAAATTACCTTCTAAGAAAACAAGCTCAAGCTTATAAAAATCTTTCATAAAAATATATTGGGCTGAAGATGTAGCTCAGTTATAGTATACTTTCCTAGCATAAAGAAAGATCTGGGTGGGCTGGGAAGATGGCTCAGTGGTAGAGCACTTGCCTTGCATGCCTGAGACCCTGGGTTCGATTCCTCAGCACCACATAAGCAAAATGAAAAAAGCCGGAAGTGGCGCTGTGGCTCAAGTGGTAGAGCACTAGCCTTGAGCTGAAGAGCTGAGGGACAGCGCCCAGGCCCAGAGTTCAGGTCCCACAACTGGACCCCCCCCCCAAAAAAAAAGAAAGCTCTGGGTTCAATCTCCAGCACTAGGAGAAAAAATACCCTACCCCATCCCCTTATAAACATGTTAGAGTGGTAGAAACTTGGCTGTTACTCAAATAGCTAGTAACAGACGATAGTATAATCATTAAATACAGAATTAACTACTTACTAATAAGGTATATATTAAAAGAAATATAATAACAATTGAAGAGCAAAATATAAAACTTAATTTATTTTGTTTGTAAGTCCTTCATTAAGTATTACATTAAAAAGAAAGTAACCTTAAATTTAAACACAAAATAAAATGTATATAGAGAATACAATGACTGAGAAACAGTATCACTATGGATGGTATGATGGCAGACATTTTTTTATAGATCTCTTCTCCTCTAACTTTTGTCCTTAATAATCAAATAAGTCTTCTTTCTCTCTCTCTCTTCCTCTCTCTCTCTTCTATTCTCTCTCTCCCTTTTTTTTTTTTGTCAGTAATGGGGCTTGAAATCAGGGCCTGGGCACTGTCCCTGAGTTTTTGCTCAAGGCTAGTGCCCTCCTACTTTGAACCACAGTGCCACTTCCAGTTTTCTGGTGGTTAATTGGGAGCCTCAAGGGCTTTCCTGCCCAGGCTGCCTTATGGGATTACAGGCGTGAGCCACCGGAACCCAGCTGAGTATTTTCTAATTTAAAAAAAAATGAGGGGCTGGGAAAATGGCTCAGTGGTAGAGCACTTGCCTTGCATGCCTGAGGCCCTGGGTTCGATTCCTCAGCACCATATAAGCAAAAAGAAAAAAGCTGGAGTGGTGCTGTGGCTCAAGTGGTAGAGCGCTAGCCTTGAGCTGAAGAGCTGAAGGACAGCGCCCAGGCCCAGAGTTCAGGCCCCACGACTGGACCCCCCCAAAAAAAAAAGAAAAAAGAAAGTCTTTACACCCTAATATGTTAAAAATCCAATCAGTAAATTCAATATGCTACTCCTATGATAATTACTCATACAGTATATGAAGTACCTACAGAATGAACCAATGGAAGGCAAGGTGGCCGCTGAGGTGAACAGGCTGGAGTGGAGCTACCAAAGGCACAACTAGAAAGTGCTGCTGCCTGAGATTCTAAAGATAAGAATGTGGGGAAAAAAAATCATTCACATCTCATATTGCTTATACAATAACAAAGCAATTTAATTATCACTTATATTCAATTTTCTTAAAAACATCATTCATACTAACCAGAACCAGATGGAGTATGGCAAGATACAGCAGGAATCCCATTAGGGCTTTTCTTTGAAGCCAAGTTATTCATCAGTGACATCTGAGTCTGTACATGCTCACAGAGGGCTTGGTATATTATTGGTGAGTACATTCTATAATGATCTTGTAATGACCAATTTTGCACCATATCTGATGTGTCTTTTTCATGTTTAGTCGAAGCATCTTTAGGTATCTGTTTCTTACTATCAAAAGATACTAACGTGGAAGAGGAAGAAAGTTTCAAAAACTTTTACCATAAAATATTAAGAGGAAAAACCACTATCAGACATAGTTTAATACACTTCTATGAAGTGTATGATGTATATCACTCTGTAAAGAAAAGCAGCCCAAATATCCAAATTCTTTTAAGAGTAGATAATGAATTGATTTTCCTTAGTCAAAATCGTCTATGTTAACTTTTAAAAATCCTTTTTAAATGCTCCCTCTTTTAAAAGTCTAATGAACTTTTCACCTGCTTCTTAACCCACTTCATTCTTTCATGGGAAAATGGAATCAGGAAGAAAGTACATTCTGCAATAACATCTCTATGCTTTGTCAGTTTATAAAACACAATAAGAAAGTCAGAGCTTTGAGATAAATCAGTAAAAAGAGCACAATAAACATCTTAGCTTGGCATTGGAAGTTTCTCCAAGCCTGACCCAAACCTGCTTTCTGTCTTTTCATCACCCTTACCTCAAGTTTTTCATTCTAGTCAAGCCAACTTAGATACCCAACAAGCCTTTTTTGCCATCCTGTAACAATGCTATGAATCATCCATTTCTACCCACACACCAAGGCTTGCTTGAAAGTTTCTCTCTTCTATGAAGTTTGTTCCAATTCAACCACACTCCAACCTAGCAATTGTTCTTCACTATCCCAAATCACATACTGTCTATTTAAATCGTGTATACCATTGTCCTACATTGCTAAAGTCCTCTCTGTGACTGAACTATAAGCTTCTCTAGACAGCGAAGTATTTTATACTTTATTATTTCCTTCACTAATCATCATACAAAACACAAATATGTTATTTGTTGGTTTTTTTTGGTTGATCGTGGGGCTCCACTTCTGGGCTTGGGCGCTATCCCTCAGCTCTTCAGCTCAAGGCGAGCACTCTACCACTTGAGCCACAGCGCCACTTCCAGTTTATTGGAGATAAGAGTCTCACAGACTTTCCTTGACCGGGTTGGCTTTGAACCATGATCCTCAGATCTCAGCCTCCTGAGTAGCTAGGATTACAGGCGTGAGCCACCGGTGCCCGGCTATAAATATGTTATTAATAAACTAATAAGTGAAAAAATTTCCAACATAGCATTGTTCTATAGATTACAATAGCCATGTGTTGGTGGTTTACACCTGTAATCCCAGCTTCTTGGGAGGCTGAGATCTGAGGACTACAGTTTGAAGCCAGAGTGGGTAGGAAAGTCTATGAGACTCTTATTTCCAATTAACCACACACAAAAAAGCTGGAAGTAGAGTTGTGGCTCAAGTGGTAGAGCATCTAGCCTTGAGCAACAAAACCCCCCAAAAGTCAGGGACAGTACCCAGGCCCTGAGTTCAAGCCCCAGGACTGGCACAGAAATCAATAGGTTAATAAAATATATATTAGAATAAAAATACAAATTTGATTTCCCTGCCTAATAAGATTTCTTCTCTAAATGAAGGCTCAACACTATAACAAAAAATGAGT